TTCGACCGCGCTTTCCTCGTCGGAAAAACCGTCTGCTTCGTCCACGTCATCAGCCACCACCTCATCGGCTTCGGCCTGGTACTACTACCACGTACTGGACCCCACTTACCTCGCATCTACTAAAACCCTAACCCTAATAAGCCTCTCTCTTGTAGTTGCGTGGTCCCAGCATGATGCCAACGATCAATCCGAGCGGCGAGCTGGTGCTCTTGGATCTGGTCACCCACCGGCGGGGTAAGGTTAGGGTTGGCGATATCGTGATCGTTCGATCGCCGGAGAAACCGACGAAGGTCGTGGCTAAGCGAGTGCTCGGACTCGAGGGGGACTCTGTCAGTTTCTTGACCCAGCCTGCGATCAGCACTGAGATCGAGACTGTGGTGGTGCGTTTTGTTCTTGCATTTTTTTATGTTAAAGAATTGATCTTCTTTCACTTTTATCTCATATTCTATTGGTTTAATTTAATAAGAACTCTTGTATCCAAAAGAAATTATACAATTTGCGTAGGCAAAAAAAGATAATCTCAGAACACTGCACTTCTGCTTATTCATTTAACCGACACGAGATGAAAAATGAAAACTGGGTAGTTGCTAACCATCATCTCAGACATGATACTCAATTGAAGCTTTCCTCTCCGATTTTATGGGTTTAAATTGTGCTTCAGGCTTAAGTATCACGCAAATAGTGTATAACTGAAACTACTATTGGGTCTTTATGTCGCACGATTGAAGTTATTTGGTCTGCCCACTCCACCTTTGTCTTTAAATCTTTTACTTGAAAAAGCATGGGAAACAATTATCTATTGGCAGTATTGCTTATAATAATCGAGGAACGCTTGTTTGGGCTTATGTGGTAGCAATCATATTCAACCACTGCAACCAGGGATTTGAAAAATGTATTGGTTAGTGCTTGAATGATTTTCCCTGAGATATAACTCAAAGTATGGGGTTAGTGCCTTCATTTTTTTGTGGATTCATGGATAAGCCTCATGAGAGAAACTTTATGCATAATGTCCCACTTGTAGTCATCTTTATGTTTTCTGGGAGGACTCTATAGATTGTAGTAAGATGGTGAGGGGCTTAAAACCCATTGGTAGCTAGAGGCATTAGGTGTTAATGCGAATAGTTTAACCATGCTCTTATGGGTCTTTTGTCCACCGCATAGCATGGCACATTTTCTAATTTGCAGTCAATGTCATCTTGGAGCCCAAAAACGTAGCATGTACGATAGAAGCTCTTGCGAACTTGGTTAACAGTGTTTAAATCATAGTCATTAGGTAATCCAGTTTGTTTCTTCAGACCTCATAACCTTGAGAATCAATGAGAATTCACTGGGTACAGGATCAAGAAAATCAAATACGAGACTGTTATATTATTAGCAGAACTATGCTTTATGGTGCTGACATATTAGCATTTTAGTATTATATGAAATATGATATCCAGTAGCGCCATACACCATCTGCTTGGTGGACTGTCCTATTTTATTATGCAAACTGCCTTGAGTTAGTCAACTCTTACTGTTTAGGTTTCTAGACAATCAACCTGAATTCTCTGATTTTTTTTTCCTTCTCATTCTACTTATATATTTTAAACCTAGTACCTCATCTATCTTTGATCATTGACCTCTCTTTGCTTAGTTTTTGTCCGTTCATTTATTAAAAGCTTTAGCACCAAATAATGCACCAGTAAGTAGAGAAATTAGAACAACACGAATAGCATGTACCCTGTTACCTTTTTATGGAGACCCTTTGTAAGGTTATTTTTTAAAGGACCAGACAATTTTAATTAGTTTTTCACTTGTAATTTATGTATATGCTGCAAAGTATTAAAATGTAGCCTTCAGGAGTCAGGACTAACAAACCCACTTACCACGAATATCAAGTGAGAGAAAGATAAATTTGTTGTGCTTTACCCTCCCTCATCATCCTCAAATATATCTCACAAAATCGGCTAGAGGGATTTGAAAAAAAATGCATCATGCATGTGAATTGGGGAAGTTGAACAAATAATTGGGTCAGTAAAAGCAAAAAAATTGATTCTCCAACGTAAGATAAAGTAGCTGAACGCATGCATGAAGCATCAATGTCGTTAATTTTATTTCATACATTGAAGTTTTTCTTTCTTGTTCTGAGTCTGAATATTGTTTAGTCCAATTCTAGTTTTGGGGTTTTCTAATATTGGTCTCCCTAGTTAAAAAAAACAAACCCTCCAAATCTTATGATTTTCCCGTAAGTCCTCTAGAATTTTCACGTCGTTTGAATTCAATAAATCTAGTTAAAATAACCCGAGAAAGTAGATATGCGTTTGAACTAGGGCAGAGTATTCTTTAGTCTTCTTTTTGTATTTGGAAAACCCATTAAATAATGATCCCAAAATCCTTATTGTTATTTTTGCATCTAATCTTTTTCTGCTTACCTTGGATGTGAGAGAGGTTGAAACCCGTAAAAAAGAAAGGAACCTAATTCTTTAGCCCTACATTCAAACTTGAGGGAGGGAGGTTGAAACCCGTAAAAAGGAAAGGAACCTAATTCTTTAGCCCTACATTCAAACTTCATCTTATCTAGAGTTGAAACCCGTAAAAAGGAACCTAATTCTGTAACGTTTAGCCCTACATTCAAACTTCATCTTATCTAGAGAGATTGAAACCCGTAAAAAGGAACCTAATTCTCTAATGTTTAGCCCTACATTCAAACTTCATCTTATCTTGATTTTGATTTTTGAGGGGGCAAAAATAAAAATAAAAACCAACAAATTGAGTGAACCCGAGCCGTCAGTAAGTTCAAATCCAAAAAAAACCACAAACACAAACCAGATTTCTCCCGATTTGTTGGAGTTTTTGATTTGATGATTTCATATAACTTGGATATAGTTAAGATTTAACCAGACTCTAGTTTATTTATTGATAGAAATATGACAGCATGTCTGATTTCAAATATACCTCATAATTTGATGCATGTCTGTGCCATTCTTGTAGTTGAAGGATTTGCTTTGTTTAAATAAAGAGTCAATGCAGAATCAGTATGAGGAAAACGTGGTTTTTATCCTCTTGTTAATTTATTGTTGGTACGTAGTTTCCTAAGTATACTTGTTGGTGATTTAGTTGACAGTAAATGATCTTGTACCTCCTTTTGATTGTTATGTGTCTTTGTTTCTTTTTTGAATCTTTTTTTAATTAGTTCAAGGTTGCGACTTATTTCGTTCTTGAGTTTCTGATAGTTTAACTTGAAATTGTTTGCTTTCCATTCTATGGACTTTGTAGGTTCCGAAAGGACATGTTTGGGTGCAGGGAGATAATATTTATGATTCAAGGGATTCAAGGACATTTGGGCCAGTGCCTTACGGGCTTATCAATGGTAGAGTTCTCTTGAGGGTGAGAATATCTCTCCCAACTGTTACATACGTATTTGTTCTGCACGCTATATATTATGTACACACACGTGTGGAGAAAGGGGGCTGATGTGTCACATCAGATCCTTGTCTTAGAGGGATGCTGATGTGGCAGCCATCCAGCCCTCAATTAAAGTCTGATGGTGATGAATGAATCTTACTGTATTTAGCAACAACAAAAACCAGGCAAAAAAAAGGAAACTATGAGGTTGCACTTTCCTTTCCCCCTTTTCGCTCTCTTCCTCTTTCACATCTCTGGTTCAAATTGGAGAGGAAGAAAATGCTTATGTGCAAGCTTGTATGTGCTGTTGAATGTGAACATGGGAAATTTTACGTAACTTATGGTAGTTCATGATATCATGCAAGGAGCAGAATTTACAAGTTACTTGCTATCAAAATGAATTTTGTTACTTGTGATCACATCTTTCTTCTTGTAACTGATATGATACCATACAACCCTTTACAAGTATACACTGCACGTGGTTACATATACTCCTTCTATACTACCCTTTTAAAGTCAGACCTTCAACATATACTCTGAAGCTGTAGAAGGTGATGTAGGCAATGACTATCCTGAACTCCGTTAAAACAATGGCAAGATTCCCAAAAATATACGCAGCATAATATTAAAGCACTAAACATACGACTCTACCATCTGTAGAAGAGCAGCTAGTCCACTACATTCACATGACATAGGATTTTTCTCTAGTTGTTTGATATATATAAGAACTAATCACATGAGATGATTTTCATGATCTTGTGGATTAAGCCATCATCTTTTTGCACATCGGAAACAAGTGGTTGTGAATGGCGTATTTTTATTTAACGACACGATAAACAGTGTGTGCTTATCCCATGCTTCAATGGAAAACCTTATGGAACATTGACTACTTAGGTAGACACAATTGCATCTGTGTCTACCTAAGTAGTCAATGTTCCATAAGTAGTCAATGTGTCTATCCCATCTTTGTTTTTCTTACTTTGTATAGATTGTTAACCTTCTTAAGCTTCGAGTACAGTATTTTCTGACGTCAAGCTCCAATTTTACAAATTTTGGGTTCAAACCTCATTCTAACAGGTGCTCACACATCACATTTGTTGATTTTTATCTTTCCAAATGAGTTGTGTTTACAGTCGTAGCCATTCAAGATGGCTTGAAGTCAAACGTGAAGGGATTTTTATTGTTAATATACTTGACATACATCATTGGCCCATAACCCGTTAACTTAAGCTTTTTGGTTAAGGTGATTTTCCAGCAAATTCATTTCATAGGTGAGAATGAATAAGTCTGATCAACTTCATCGCATATCCATTTGAAGTTAAAAGCATAGATGATTATGATGATGCTGAAGTGTATGCATTTGCATATTTCATGATATCTGCTATTTCTTTTTGTGATGTGTTATTTATGAGGGAGTTTCTGAATTCTACTTCTCATGATATTTAGGTGTGGCCACCTGAACGATGTGGATTCATTGAACACAATGTGCCACTTCAGCAAGGTACTTTCTCTGATGTTTACACGTCTTCGATTATATAACTTTGGTTGGCCATTTTGTGCTTATCTCTATGCTAATAATTTTAGGACATGACATCTTAAGGCCTTGTAATATAGTTCATTGATGCAACTTTATTTCCTGATGCATCTCAAAGAAAGAACTTTGTTTTACCGATGAACAAATAGCTAAGCAGATCCTTGGAAATGAAAAGGACATCCTCTGCTGCTTGGGATCTTTAAATTCTCCGGCATCCTAAAGGCAAACTAATCTTACCTATGGTAATTAGCAAGTCTAGTTTGAGTCCAGGCCTTCTCCACATTCTGTACAAATTCTCTTCAGCAATCTCCGAGAACTTTCTCATTTTATTGTTGTTGGTCCTTCACCAGATAAGGTCTAAATAGTTTTGAATAAAACCTGTTTTACTTATTACCAAGACCTTATCTGCTAATAAATTCACTCTACTTATTCACTTCCCTCATTGTACTCTGCCATTATTGGATTGTCCAATATTTTCTTTAAATGATATGAAGATAGCATAAATATATTCACTAAGGTTGATATGATAAATGCTCGTTGTTCTTCTATCATTTTGTCATTGGATGTCTCATACTGGCTTCTGGTGTACAGTTGCCAGTGGTGAAATGGAGCAGAATGCGATCTCTGATTGATTTTGTGGCTGAAGTCAACAACAAACAAGAAGATATGGTTCATATTCTCTTTTTGTTGAGATTCTTGGCAGAAGTTAATGCGATGATAAAAAGCTCCCGCCACTTCCCATTTATTTTTCGGATTAGTTGTGAATGATGGAGCCATTTATGGTAATTTTGTTCAAGATCTTGTCAAATATTGTTAAATAGAGGGTGTTTGCAAGGGTTTGCTTTTGCAATAACGCATTATGTAATGTTGGTTATTATTCTCTACTTGATAATAACCGAGCAATTTGCTGGATATTATATGATTACAATCTAGAACATCTGTTTATTTGTTAAATTAGATTTTTATTGTGAAAATTATTATTCAGAGATGGATACTCAAACTATATAATAAAAGAGAGGGGCAACTTGGGTCCAGAGTTATGGAACAGGGTAAGATTGTCTCCTTGTTTGCCTGTTGCTTGGATCATGATTTTGTGCAGATCAAATATTTTATGCCGTTGCTTGTTGCGTGGTTTTTTGGGGCAGCCTCTGCATTCGCTTGTGTTTGCATTACAATTTGTTTCTTTTGAGGGAAGAATGTCCTACAATTTACTGCACATGTTAATGTTAGGCCGAGAGAAGAGAGCTGTCTTGATACGGAGCTCACAAGTGAGTAGTGGAAACCACCTTTTGTAAAAATGTAAGATAAGATGTGGGTAAAATAGACCTAAAGTGATCCTAATCCTTATGTGGGACAATTTTGACTCTTAGGCTTGGTTTGGTAGGAGGGAAGGTGATGGGGCGAGAGGGATAAAAATTAGATTTGTTTTTGGTAGGGAGTTTTTAGAGGGGGGCAGTAGAGTGAGGGTAGGTAGGGAGGAGAGACCATTAAATAGAAAGTTAAAAGAGAGGAAAAAACCTCTAAATTGAGAGGATTCAAGAGAAGAGAGAAAATGAACGACAAAAGCATGTATTCCTCCACTCTTCCAATCAAATATAAAGGTTTAAAGGGATGTCCATCCCTCTACCTCATTGCACTTCCCCAACATCCACCTTATTACAGTTCCCCTAACCTCTAGTTAGCTTTGTACCAGGGACTATCGGATTCCTCATTGAGTATTTTTCATGCCAAACCTACCGAGAACTTATCGAGCATATTTTCTTTAACAAATATTAGAAATATCTCATCTTCCCTAAGCTTGTCATCTCAAACTCAAACTTCATCTAATGTTTAAACTCCTCAATCAAACAAGCATCATTACTAGTAAAGATTAAGTCGTCCATGTAAAGACTTACAATTAAAATTTTCTCTCCTTCTTCTGCTTTGAGGAATAAGGTGTGCTCATGCCTCCAGCTTTCAAAACCATGCTTGAGAAAATAGCCTTCGATCTTACTGTACCAGGCCCTTAGTGCCTGCTTCAACCCGTACAACGCCTTCTTGAGTTTATAGACTTTATGCTCTTCTCCTTCCTTCCCATAACCTTGCGACTGCTCCAAGTACACTGTCTCACTCAACTCTCTATGAAAAAATGCACTTTTTACATCAAGTTGAAACACTGTCCACCCTTTTCTTGTTGCCAACGCTAACACCATCCTTATCGTATCCCATCGAGCCACAGGAGCAAAGACTTCATTATAATCAACTCCTTGCTTTTGAGTGTACCCTTTCGCCACTAACCGAGCCTTGCATTTATCTATCTCCCCATTCTCATTCAGCTTCGTTTTATACACCCATTTTGCTCCAATTGTTTTTGCTCCCTCAAGCAGATTAACCAGCTCCCAAGTAGCATTCCTTGTAATCACCTAAATTTCCAGATCTATAGCCAATCTCCACTTCTTACTCCTAGTTGCTTTCTCGTAGCTAGTTGGATCCTCTTGTGAAATGAACATCACCAAATTTTGCTCGTTATCATCTTCAGAAATCCCCTCTCCACTCTCAAAGTCTTGCATACATACAGGCTGCCTTCTATTTCTTGTTTCGGGTAAGTCAGATACATTTTGTTCAGGTGGACTCGGTGTGCTTGCTCCAGAACCCTCATTAGAATTAGGTTCTTTATTCTGCTGGTCTTCTTCAATTTCACTTTCACCTTCATTTGCATCACTTTCATCCCATTCCAGAACATCGGCCTTGGCCTCATCTTCACTCCTCCCCCAATTCCAGCTCTCATTTTCATTAAACTGCACATCTCGGCTAACCACCACTCTCTTTGTCACCAGGTCATAGAGCTTGTAGGGCTTTGACTCTTCACTTACACCGAGCAGTACACATCTATGGCTTTTGTCGTCCAACTTCACTATCTTTGCATCTGGAATATGAACATACCCTATGCAACCGAAGACCCGGAAATGCTCAATGCTAGGTTTTACTCCACTCTATCTTTCTTCTAGTATTTTATCCTTCATCGCTATGGTTAGGCTTCGGTTAAGCACATGAACAGCCCATCTCACCGCTTCTGACCAAAATGGCTTAGGCATCTCCTTTTCAGAGAGAAAACATCGAACCATATTCATTATGGTAAGATTTTTGCGCTCTGCAACCCCATTTTGTTGGGGTGTGTAGGTTGCAGTAAGTTGGCGCTTGATTTCATGGACTTTGCAAAACTCATTAAACTCCTTTGATGTATATTCCCCACCTTGGTCTGTCCTCAAACAACATATGGATAACCCTGACTCATTCTCAATGAGATTCTTAAAGTACTTAAAAAAATATAAACACCTCACTTTTCTCAACAAGCAAATAGACCCAAGTCTTTCTACTGTAATCATCAATGAATGTCAATAGGTACCTTTTGTTGTTGTTTGACTCCGGAGTTATGGGGACGCATATATCAGCATGGATTAATTGAAGTAGCTGTGAACTCCCCCACTGACTCTTTCTTGGTATAGCTTCTTGATGATGTTTCCCCTTCATGCAACTTGTACACATTTTAGTTGAAGCATTAAATTATGGCAGCCCCTTTACTAGTTTTTTGTACTGCAAGATTCTCAGGTTCTTGTGATTCAGGTGTCCATATCTTCGATGCCACAACTCGGATATGTCTTTAGAAGCAACATTCAGACGCGGTGAAGATTGTGGTTTCAAGGTTGCAAGCAGAACAAACATTCTGTTGGAAGTCATGTGTGTATGCAAAATGAGCCCCCTCCTAGAATGATAGATCCGACATTCTCCATCTCGAATCAAGATGGCCAACCCCTTCTCTTGCAGCTGACCAATACTCAAAAGGTTATTTTTTAACTCAGGTATATAGTACACATCTAAAATTACCTGAGTTACACCTCCTATATCGATCCTAATGTTACCTCTTCTCATTACCGACATTCTAAAATCATTTCCTAGCTTCACTGAGTGCCTAAATTGTTCATCTAGATCCACAAACCATTCTTTATTCACCATAATGTGGTTCGAACACCCTGAGTCAAGAAACCAAACCACCTCCCTTCTTGAATTGTTGAATTCAACATAGGACATCAGAACGAGATCCTCATCTTCATTGAGTTCAACATAATTTGCCTTTTTCTCCCAGTCAAGGCATTCATATTGATAATGGCCTAACTTGTGACACTTAAAACATTCAACTACTGCACTTAAAACATTCAACTACTGCTTTGTTGAAAAGCTGTTTCACTCTACCTCTACCTCAGCCTCCTCTAAAAGCAGCTCTTCCCCTGTCTCTCCCTGCTCTATCTTCATGAGAGATCTTTAGTACATGTTCTTCTTCATCATGACTCTTCATTCTCTGCTCATGGACGATGAGGCTACTCTGCAACTCGTCAATTATCATTGTCTCCAGGTTATAGAGCATACTACGTAGTCAAACCTCGAGACCATGGACCTCAAGATCTTCTTAGTAATCTCATTCTCACTCATACTCTCACCATAAGCTTTCATGTTCTTATCTATAGCCAATGTACGTGCAAAGAATGAATTGACTGTTTCACCTTCCCTCATTTTGAGGACTTCGAAGTCTCTGCGTAGGGCCGCTACACACCTACAGCTGTGCTCTCTTCACTCTTGTTGAACCTTGGAACTTTTGCTTCATAGAGTCCCAAATTTGCTTGGCTGTATCATCGTGGAGAATGGTCTCCATGATTTCTCTATCGATGGCCTAATAAAGATAATTCTTTATCTTCATATCCTTCAGTTTCTGCTCCTCAATCAGCTTGACTTGTGTCTCTGTATGCACTGCTCCTTCTGGCACAGTCGAGATTCCATTTTCTACAAGACTCCAATACTCTTTGGAGCGAAGGAAATTTTCCATTAGCTTCGCCTAGTGCTCATAAAAGCCATCAAACTTGGGGATGGCAGGTTGCACATACTTGCCATTGCTGCTTTCTACCATTCTTTTGACACACTCACTTCTTCTCTCAGTGTTTGACTCACACTCCGTCTCTATTCACTCAACCAGGGCCCGATGATGGGGCTCTGATACCACTTGTTAGAGACTAATTCACAGCAAGCTCACACATATGTTTTGATGAAAAACAACCTTATTGAATTGATGAAAGGTTCTGGCTTATAAAGCCAATACATGTAACAGAAACGCATAAAAACAGCCCACGATCTAACAAACTCCTATATCGTGGTTGATTAGCTAAGGAAACAATCAAAAACAAACAAACTACATCAAGCTCCTTAGAAGTAGGAGTTATTTGCTGACTTGAACCAAAAGAATCCTATCAAACTGCCGACTCTTTCAACGAAACC